CCCTGCACTTCGTCGGTGGAGCTGGCGGAGGCGTGCGTGACAACTGCCACCGCGGGAGCAGCATCTCCCGGGACGGTCGGGCCAGACACTGCTAGCAGGCTGGAGGGTGCAGTCAGTAGGTTGCACCTCCGCCCCTTGGGACGTCACTGCGGGTAGGGCAGCGCCGCGGCCAGGCCCGCCCCTGACGGTCTCCTCCAGAGCTTTTGGCGCCAGACACTGTTCGGCCAGAGGGCTCCCAGCTCCTCTGAGATTCCCGAGGAGATCTTGAGTTTGCTTAAGTCGCAAGGTGGAGGAAAATCTTAGGATGGCTTCTCTGATATAGCAAGAAGAGTTCAGTATGACGAAAACCAGTGCCTTGTCTCTGTTCTCCAGGGTTGTAGCTAAGTTCATCCATCTCTTGAGTGTGGGCCACAGGGAAGGGGAAGTCTTTTACCTACCTGAGGCTCAGCAGGCCCAGTCCTAGTACTCAGGGCTACACCTGGGAAAGGAAATGTCTGCATGGAGAACAAAAGCTCTAGCAGCTGTGTGCCTGTTGACCATGAAAGTTAGAGGACATGGCATGCATAGTGTCCACAGAGGGTGACTGAGTTGGAGTTGTGGGTGAAAGGAGAGTGACTTCTAATGATAGAAGTCAAGAAAGGTTCCAGATCTCAGCAATAAAACGATTCTGCTTTTGAAGGGCATGTGATGGAAGTGGGGGTGGTGACTGTGGAATTCAGTCTTGGACTGGTGGCCGGAGGAAGATGACCCCTCTAGGAAAGAATGGTTGAACTCCTCTGGAATAGCTTTTCTAACCAGCCTACCCTACAGTGTGTGGTCCCTCTTCTAATCTCCCAACAACAACAACAAAAAATGGGACCAGAAGCGTTTTGGATTTTTCTCTTAGATTTTGGAATACTTGCATATACAAAAGGAGATATCTTAGGGATAGGACCCAAGACTAAACATAAAATTTTTGTTTCATATATACTTTATATACATAGCTGGAAGGTAATTGTATAAAACATTTTTAGTGTGAAATTTTGACTGCATTCCTCACATGAGGTTATATATAAAATTTCTACTTGTGACCATCATATTTGTGCTCAAAAGTTTGGGATTTTGGAACATTTTTGATTTCACATTTTTGTATCCTGGATGCTCAACATGTAATATATTTACATGCTGATAAATATAATCACCACATAAACTGTTATTTTGTTGGCCAGTTGGACACATACTCTTTTGAGGACAAGAAAATAATTCTCAGAGTGCATGGAATCAGAACAAAGGGAATTGTTTACTAGGAATTAGAGAAAGTTTAGGCTTTGATAACCTGGTATGTTCATCTTTACAATAAAGATCTTTCCAACAATAAAGATCTGTCCTGTAAGATCAATTTTACAGGATACCTTTTATCCTGATAGTATTAGGATATCGCCAATTTATAGCTTTTAAAATGTTACTTTTCTAGGTCTGATTGTCTTCCTTTGGTTCCAAATATTTTTGAGCAAATAGTATTGTGCCAGAAACCTGTAGTTGATCCCTAATACCTATTCCCTATATATATATATTTTTTTTTTTGGTGATAGAATTCTTGCATTTTTAACTAGGCAGATTCATCTTCACCCCCATCTAAAGATTCTTTCTAGCTACCTTTGCAGATGGCATGACCCTGTGATTAGGTTCTCACCAACAATTCACTCACTCATTTGTTTGAAGTGTGGATGACAGCTACATCTTATGGAGGCTATGCCCAGGAGTTTCAGTGAAAGACAACAGTGAGGTGAAGGGAGGTCCCAAAATAAGCTTCAAACACTGAAAAAGATCATATAACTGTTAGTAGGCATGCCATTGAACAATGCAGGAGGGACAAACAATCTTTTTATTAATATACACTAAAGGGAATAAACCTTGAAAACGAGGTAGTTTGGCAATGGAATTATGTACCCGCATATACAATGTAGGCATAATAAGCCATTCGTTTTTTTATTTCAGACATGTTCTAGAATTGGGCTGAACCAAATTTTGGAGAAAGGACAATGCTTTTTAGACTTCTCTTTCATTCCTATTTTCTTATTTGTACAAATTGGCAGCACATAAAACCTTTGATTCTGTTTTATGTGATATTCATAATATAAACAAAGTATACAAATTCTGGAAATATCTTTCAAACAAAACAATAGAAGTTTGAGAATGTAAAAGTTGAGGGGAGTGATTATGGTGTGATGCCAAACACAGTAGTGGTATACAGTAAATAAAATAGGCATGTATTTTAAAAATTGATTAAATCCATACAAGTGTGCATATTTAACCTTTATTTCTTAATCTATTTTAAAACATGTGCTCAATAACCAGTACAATTCCTAGAAACCTGCAAATCTTTTATTTCTTTAACTTTGATCTTGATGTAAGCTGAAGATGTATGTAAGCCATTCTCTACCACGTGTCAGTCAAATCAGTCCAAGGCTTTGACTTCTTCTCAGTCCTTTTTATCTGCCTCTGATAACACTTGCCTGTTGGTAGTAATATGAATCAGTTCCTATACACAGAACTCTATAATTGTAAACACAACGTAGCATTAAAAAATGAAAAAAATTTCCATAACAAAATTCACTGCTTTGGATTCTGAGTATGCATTAGGTTTTGTAACCACATATAAAATTATGTATGAGAGAAATGGTTATGCTGCAAGATGTGATTTCAAGAGCACGGGAGAACACCTCCTACCCCGAATATTTTGCTTGTCCAAGAATCAAGCTTCTGGGGTTTGTTTCATCATTGGTAATTGATTTGGATTACTCATTGTTCCTTCTACTCCGTCCTCTTAAAATTCAAATTGTATTGGTAGAGGCCTGGGGATTTAGCTCAGTGGTTTCCCCTCCTGCCTTGCAAGCATAAGGGCCAGATTTCAATTCCCGGTACAAAAAAAAAACATCGGTAGATAATAAATGTAATGCTATTCAAATGTTACATGAATATACTTTCCAATTCTTTCTGATAGAAGGAGACACAGATAATCTTAAGAAAATCTGTTGAAAAAGGGAGATGGAAAGATGCATCTTGTGTGCTGGGGAGTTTAAGGCAGAGAGGAAAAGATGGAGAAAGAAGAGGGAAAATTTAAAGTATTTTACAATTGTGTCTGAAATATTTGCAAATTTAAAGTGTTTATAAATTAATGTGTACTATAAAATATCAATTTCTAAATCACCTAATATGGAATTACATTATATTCCTGGACTAAAAATTTTTAAACAAATATATTCTGAATTCCAACATGTTGGCAGTGTGTTAGGGACTTTGGGTGACCCAATTTCTCACTGGGTATGGGAGTATACATTGTAGTTATAGACAAGACAGAAAATATGTGAAGTGTTAAATGGTTTGAAATGATAAGAATTAAATAATCATAAAACATGATAAAGAGTAATACAGGATTAATTACCAAAAGTATGGTACAGAAGGTAACTATAGGAAGTTCAGAGGTGAAATTACTGTGAAATTGAATGAAATTCAGTGGCAGGGTAGAGGGAAGAATGAATATACTACAATATAAATTAAATACCTAAAATATTTAAACTAAGAGAACTATCTGTTTAAACCATAAAATAATGTTTTACTCTTAGGTGGACCAACATGGGTAGTAGCAGGAATATTTTGTAAAAATACATGTAGAAATCTAAGGTACCCAAACATATCTGCTTAAAACTATTCAAGTAGCAGTCTTCATTACTTGGATCAGTTAAGTAAAATCTTTTGATGGGGCTAGTTTTGTTCCACCCTCAAAGCCAAGTCAAATCAGTTGCCTCAAAAACAAGAAATTAAATTGTTCAACACAGGAAAAGAAAGTAGCTAGGTGTTTGAATGATTTTTTTCATTTCTAAATTTTAAAAATTAGCAAAGGCATATTCATTCTTCTTTAAGGCAATTACTTTGATAACAGTAAAGGGAGTCAGTTTCATTATCAGTGAAATCAGAATCAAGCTTCTACTGTTTTCCAACTGTTCTTCCCTGAATATGGCAGGAAAATAAATGTCAAATTAATGTTAGCCATGTTGGTTTTTAATCATTACAAAAATGGAGAGCTTTTAACAATTTGATATGTGTTAATAGTTAAGTGGTGATAGTTGATTTTTTAAAAACTCTTCCAGCTCGTGTTTCTGGCCCTGTACTAACATTCCAGGTATAAGGCTATTAACTTGTCACTGAGAAGCTGGATGCTTTTTCTACTTGAACTTAGTGATAACATTGCTGGTAGGATCAGAGCTGTCATCTCTAAAAGCCTGCTGACATGCTAAAGATTGTGGTGAGACCACGTGGGCGGGGGAGGAGGGAGATGTGAGGGCTTAGAGAATACAAGAACCCTAGATGATAAGGGACTGTGTGCAGGCTCAAGGTTGTGATATGCTCTCCAGTTTGCACAAACTTTTGCTTGCATATTTCACAGTTATCCAAGTGGGTACACAGGCTTTTGTATTTTTGAGGAAAAGGGAATTTATTCAAAGTTAAAAAAAAAAACAAAAAAACAAACCCTAACACAGTGGGGTGAGTTTTTAGGAGATCTGACAGTAGAGGACAAAGAAAAAAGTAGTACTTCTTCAGACTACAAATAAAACAGAACAAAACAAAAAACTGGAGAATACTTTCGACAGAACTCAACTTACTTTTTGTTGTGTACTTTGTCCATATGTTTATAAGGAAGGGAAATAAATTCTTTCTAAAAAATAAGAAAGGAAAACTTTTGCTTCTTGTGGTAATCAAAATTACTCACTTGAAAAAAATCTAAGGTAAAATCATCACAAAGTTTGTAAAGACTAAATTCTTAAATATGGAAACAACTGCATCAGAGGTGCCCCAGATTAATGAATTTGAGGTACATTGAGGAATGTATGTTTGTGTACCCATGCGTTTATACTGTGCTATTATAATTATACAGTTTGTCTATCATCATTTAACGTTTATTTTATTTTTTGTGATCTAGGAAAATATTAATCATTATAAAACAAATACTGGCACTGAAAGTAGCCCCTATTAGTATCATAAGATTTATAATATATAAACAATAAACTCCACCTGTAACAACATCTCATAAAATGTCAGAAGAACTGCAAATTATGGAAATACTTTTGGTTTCTCAAGGATTGCCAAATTATCTGACCTCTATACCCTCACCAGTATATAGAAGGTTCTAGTCTAGCCTATGAGTAGCTACATTTAAGAAGTCAATCTATGAAACCTCAGAACTTGCCACAGATTCTCCTTTCAGATAGTTGTATCCAAATGCCTCACTATTATTCTTACCAAGATCCTTTCTTCTCTTTGTTTTCTTAAAAGTTGGAGAATCTCATCTCTCTTTTTAGCCTGTTTAAAGGGGAAAAATGTGGGTGAGTCTTGACAAAATAATAAATACTTATGCCTGTAATTCTTCTACATCTGGTATTGGTAGAACTTTAAAATATTTTTTTCCACAATAAGTTTGTGCATTATCACTTTTTACTCTAGAGGAGGCAACTTTAAAAAATAATTTGTTTTTTATCCTAAATGGAGAGGGGTTTCTTTTCCATAATAGCTAACTTTTACTAAGATCTTAGCACATAAACTAAGAGTTTTAGAGATATTATGTCATTATTAACAACTTAGAAGTTTGACACTACTATGATTTCATTTTATAGGTGAGGAAACTGAAGTAGAGTAAAATTAAATAACTTGCCCAAATTATTATATGGAAGACTGGATTTAATTTCAGCCCCATTAAGTCCAAGCTATTAACCATCATGCTAAATTGTAGGATCATCAGGCTCAAATAGCACATCACTCCCTAAATCTATGGTAAAGAGGGCTGGCTGTAGTTGTTTGCATGTGGGAATAGAATTCTATTCTTAAATCTTTCATTTTTCTGTCTTATTAAGTCATGCACATCCTCAGGTAAGTTTTCTTAAATGCAGAAACTCTCTGTTCTCACAGAAAATTTTATATATTTTTTGAAAGTTATATATTCTGATAAAAATGTGGGCTATGGGGCTAGTCAGCAGGGGGAGTTAATCCATTCTGGGGTAACTTTGACCATCAAAATTAATTTGATGATATCACATAGCACTTTGAAAAAAATGGTTAAATGGCAAAGAATAGCTGTGCTATAGTGGTACTTATAAACTGATGTGCTTTCTAAGATCTTATTTAATGTGGACTAAGATTTTTGATTGAAAATTAATAATAAATTAAGCATTGTGTTCCAAATTTAAGCAGAACCAAGGTTCTGTGGCTTAACAGAGCTCGAGAATATTATGATTTTCATTTTTTTGAAGTTCCAGAATTTGTTTTAAATTCTATGCCAATCAGAAGGAGTCAGTTTTCCTTTAGGACCAATAGGGATTTTCAGCTTTTATTTTAGATAGGATCTTAATGCTCAAAAATGTGACTGGCTTAAGGTAAAATTATCAATAAAAGTCTCATATTTGAGCTTGATTTCAAAACACAGCATGCACCTCTCATCTTACTGATTTTGACTACAAAATGCTTCAACTATGAATTTTATTCTATAAATGGATGACTATTCTCTGTGTCTACTAACTAAAACTTGGTATGTAGATTCCATAATTGCCTTTCAGTAAACTTTTATCTACTATAAGTAATATGAAATAGAACATTTGGACTTCAAAAGATCTACTATGCACTTCAAAAGATAGACTGAATTATCAGTGAAAAGGCTTTCTTTAGTACTAATATGATTTCAGAGGGCAGACCTAATTGCAGTAGTCTATGGGATGGAAGCTGATATAGGATTATTTAAATGAGGGAAGAAGAATGCTGACTCTCAGGAGAAAGATGCAGATCTAAGCACTTTTCCATACCTCTTGGAAACTGCTGGGCCATGGCTCAGTTCCCAGATCTGACATATATAATTTTCATCTAAAAAAATAACAGCTTACTAAATGAAAAAGAAATATTAGTCATTACATAACTGGGAGTCAATATAATTTTTCTTAAATATACATTTGAATAAAGTAAATTTATCTGTTATGAAGAAAATTGTGTATTTTTCTTGGCTCTATTACATATATTTTCTTATTTATTTTACATAATTTTAATAGAAAACCAATAATAATTGCCTGAAGTATTTAGGTCTTGTTTTTTCAACATTTACACACAAACATAAATGCATGCAAGGCAAATAAAAAAGTGATTTTTTTTTTTCAGTACTGGGGATTGAACCTTGGGTTTGCTCATTCTAGGCAAGTGCTCTACCATTAAGCTACATCCCCAGATCTAAATAAGTGATTAAAAAAAAACTATTTTAATACTGTTTTAAAGGGTACTTTAAAAAAAAAGAACAATAAGTGAGATTTGAATTTTTTTTTTCCAGTACCGGGGATTGAACTCAGGACCTTGTGCTTGCAATGCAGGTGTAGTGCCACTGAGTTAAATCCCTGGCCCTTTGAATGTTAATGTTAAGAAAAATTTGAGCATAAAGTGGGCATTATATTTTTAAATTTGATGAAGCAACATATGATAGAGATACTTCTCACTATATGATAAAATTATATGCTACTGACAATTAAGTCTGTAATAATAATCAAAGCTTGTTCTTTTAGCAAACAAAAGACTAGTGACACTAATATTTTCACCAAGTTGGTAGTTACATCAATATGATGAATGACTGAATGGGACTGACCTCATCTCTCAGATATGTCTTTCCTGTCCTGCCCATAAAGACTTACAAACAAGCGGATAGGGAGCTCCCACACAAATGACTGTCAAACTTCCTCTCTGGCCCATACTTCTCTTTCTAGTCCAGACAGTTGCAGACCTATTTGACAATTTCACCTGCTTATCTCAGAAGTGCCTCATACTTGGTAAGTCTAAATTGAAGTTTTAATTCCTCCTTCCAAAAATTTCAACACTTGACATTCATTTCATTTTCCTTATTTCAGAGAATCTAGCCTGTTATGAAAGCCAAAACAGCTATGAGTTATCTTTGATGCCTTGCTATGCTTTACCTTCCATTTCCAATATATAACCTTAATCCTAGCTATTTCACTTCCTAAGTATGTCTCAAATTAATCTACTTTTTCCTATCTAATGTCACCATCTTAATTGAAGCTGCCATCACCTCCCTACTGGATGATTAAAATGGCCTCTCCAATGTGGTTTCCCTACTTCTGGATACTTACAGTCCATTTTCCATATGAAAGTTTCTGATCTCTTTCAAGAAAATCTGATATTATCATCCCCCAACATAAAAACATTTCAGTGGTGCCTTACTGTTCCTAAAATGACCTAAGTTACTGTTCCTAAAATGACCTAAAATGACCTAAGTTTCCTAAATGGCCATACTGGCCATTTAGCTTCAGAGGTGCAACATGCCTTTTCTAAAATAGGAACTTTGCACATACTATTTTTGCTGCTTGAAATACCCTATTAATGCTCCCCTCAACTCCTTCTGGCCTAGTTAATGCCTCCTTTTCCTTCAAATCTTAGCTTAGTTTAAAAGAATCCTCTCCAGCTCCCTTGGTTGAATGAATACCACCTTATTAAGTAGTTTCTTAACATCACGTACTATTTTCCATAAATATTTCTCTTCTGGTTAGACAGGAAGTTTTATATAAGGGCAAAATTTGCATCTTTAAAGCATTTTTTTTTGCTGTTTATCATTATACTTTAGTGCCTAGCACCATGCCAGCACAAAGAAGTGTCTGAATAAATCTTGCACAATTCTTCCAAATCAGATTTTCTTAACTTAGTTCCATGACTCATTTTACTATTTGTGGATCTGCTTGGCCCTTTTTGCTTGAGCCTGACATTGAATCTTTGGCTTTATCTCTAACATGCTTACAGTTCTTCTTAAGCCTATAGAGTTGCTTCTGGCCAATATCCTTTAAAGATCAGTGTGGCCTCAGGATCCACCATTTCAGTGGAAAGCCGCCATATTTCTCTAGTGAAACCTAGACAATGTCCAATTCAAAACATACAGACTAATGTCTCTACTCACACCAAAATCTATTTTATCTATTAGGAATGTTTATGGTAAAACCCCAGAGATGCCAAGATAATATACAAAACAGTGCAATTACAGTTTGTAATTTTTTCATTTGTGGTTTTATTCAGTGCTATACAAATTTATCCTTCATAATAAAATTTTCAAAGTTTAGAGTAAATAACATCAGTATTTTTTCTAATTACTGAGTTATCATTACAGTGGAAATATGCCCTTTCCCATAGAAGTTCTTACATAGCATTTAGATCAGCTCTAAGATCAATTGTTTATAAATTGATTTCTGAAGAATATTTTTTGGCCTGTCTGAAAAATAAAAATAATCATAGGTTCATGTAAAGGTACAAGATCCCAATGATGAATATAACTGTACTGTATACCTAAAATGTACCAATAAACTCAATGAGAGAAAAAAAATAATCATAGGTAGTCTCTTTAGATTCCTGGATGTGGCAGTAAGGAATGACACAGATATTTAGCTATATGATTGGAGTTTGGGAGAAGATTCTAGGACCCTTCCTTTCTTCCTTCCTCCCATGCATTTCTTTTGTATCAGAGCTCCAGTATGTGGAGTAGTGTCTTATGCCTCATGTCCAATTCTGTTTAGTACCTGTGCCCTCTGAATCTTTGTCAATCCTGTTCTAGCCTATACTTTTATGAGTACCTCATGTTATACCTAGCTCAAGGACTAGACTATCACGTAGAATCATGGTTCAGTTATATTATCCATTTGTAAGTGCTTACTTGGTAGGTTATGAGATCACCTACTGTTTGCTAGGTCTTGTGATTATAAAGTGGAAAAAAAAAGTCACGGTCCTTCTCCTTGAGGAACTTAGAACCTTCAAGAGAAATACACTGACTATACCACCATATTAAATTTCAGGATCGGGGAAAGAGGAGTATACACAGAACCATAGGAAAACAAAGAAAGGGGCATTTGTATCAGAGTAGGCAATATGTGAGATGAGAAAAGAGTTAAATGTAATTGCCGAACTGTTTTTAAGTACAAGCATTAGTTAAATAGAAAAAGAGGAAGAAAGGCATTTCCAGGAGGAAGAAACTGTGGGTTCAGTGTCACAGTTTTGAAACACCATTGTGGGTTCTTGGAATGCTAGATGACTCAAAAGATTCTGGTATTAATTTTACTTAATGGGGAATGGTAGTAGGTGAGGCTGAGGAAATGTGTTAGGAGGCAGATATTAAAAGTTTTTATATATTAAACTATACTTTGAGTACAGTTGACTCTCATTTGTGGAAGTTATGTTCTAGAAAGTCAACAAACATTGAATTAGTGAATTATTTCTAGGCTTCTTCTGGCTTTCTGGTCACAGCTTTTCATCATCAGAACAATACAGAACCTTGTGTGTTT